AGTACACACACTTTCTCAGAAAATTCAGTGGCCATATTTAAAAAAAGTTTATTTCTTGAAGAAAACTGCTCATATCATATACTTTTCTGACCATCATTTTTTAACGGAATACAAGTTAAAATATAAGAAATGGAAAGTGAAGCAACTGAAGTTAAGCCAGCAGTAGTAGTAGCAGTACCAGCAATGGGGGCATGGAAGGGCTGGGGTGCAACTAACAACAACAACGTGCCCTGTTCCCTGCAAGAGGTCATGAATGAGCAGTTGGCTGTTCAGTTGCAGGCAGAAGATATGAAGCATGCCCTGATTAAGTAATAAAATAAAGTTTTTTGTTTTCAAAATTATAGCTAAATTAATTTAATTAGCATTTTTTAATTAAATATTTTTAGAGTAATGTTTTTTATTTTTTAATACAAATTGTAATAAAATTTGGCCCAATAAAAATTTTAACTATTTGAAGTGAATGTTCTTGTTGTTGGAACAATTTTATATTATTTTATTTCAATTTACTCTGTTTTAAAAGAATTAACCTATATATCCTATCTGATATGGTTTTTTTCATTCTGTATAAATTTTATTTATGGAGTGAGCTATTATAATTTTAACTAAGAAAGAGAGAGAGAGAGAGAGTGGATTGTTAAATTATACTAAATTACACTAACTTTTGTGGCCCCATAAAATATTGCTGAGTAATAAAAAAAATTTATTTTTGGTAGCATACCTTGATAAAGTAGCAGCATGTCATTAATTTGTAAATAGTAGATGGTTAAGTTATCCTTACCCTTCCACCACAAAGGGACCAAATGGGCGTGATCCCTCAGGACATCTTAATGGAGATTCTGGATGAAGACGGCTCGGGTGACAGTGGTGGAGGAGGAGGTGCGAGTAATGAAAACGACACATCGAACGATCTACTCATTGCATCCCTTCTTCAGCAAGAATTTGATGAGAGCCACGATAAGCAACTGAGGAGGGAGCAGGATAAATGGAATGGACAGAGCAAAGGTTGAAAAGTTACTTCCATCTTTTTTTTGTGTTTGTTGAGCCTGACTGTCAATTCAATTAAATGGTTAATTTTTTCATTTTGATAATAATTAATAAACTTGATATGAAGAATTTTCTGGATGAGTGTATGAGGCTTTGATTGATTTTTAATTTAATTCCAGTGAAGTTATCATTCGACAACCATCGAACTGTCCATCCAGCCTTAAGAGATGAAACAGATTTCGATGAGAGGTACCTTAATGTACCTGATATTCAAATTAAAAAAGGTTCCAACTTGAATATGCATTATTTTCATTTTATATAAATATCTAATTAAAAGTTGCTAGGTGTTGTGAATGGGTATATCTTGGCCTGGAATGTATGGAATAAGAAAGGATCGCTAATTATGTGACATTCTATGGGTAGTTGCAGTTTAAACAAGTTGTTTTTCCGTCTTCTCCAATGCAGACACCACACCTCAGTTCAACAAGTTTGGGATATCTGGCAAGGGGAAGAACATAATAACTAAACATGATCCAATCATATGTGCTAGGAAAAATGCTAGCAAGATTGTGGAAAATGTGAGTGACGGCTTGTCTATATATTCCTTCTTTCTCTTATCCATTCATTCATTCATTCTATCACTTACTTATCAATTCATCCTCTATTATTATTGCTATTCTTATTCTAATCATCATCATTGTCTTCAGTTCCCTCCAGAACTGGAGACAGGAGATGGCACGGATTTCGACATGAGACTGCCTAACAATGTCTACAATAGGTTAGGGTTTGGTGCGTCGTTTTGGTTCTATTTAATGTTTAAAAATTAATTTAAATACTAATTACAATTATTATTATTATTATTATCAACGTTATTATTATTGTTATTATGTCGTTATTGACATTACTGTTATTTATTTGTTGCCTCTCTCTTGTGCACACCAACCACATGTGCTTGTGCACCTAGATTGAAAGTGCAGTCGATGATTGAAATAAAGAGAACCAATAGATACCATGAGAAGAAGGAACATTCTACACAAGTTTGCATGATGTGTGGTGTTATAGTGTGATGGTGGTGTGATAATATCATGCGTGCAACCACTGACTGACCACGGCCACAACTAACGACACAACCACTGACTGACCACAACCACTGATTGACCACGGCCACAACTAACGACACAACCACTGACTGACCACAACCACTGACTGACCACGGCCACAACTAACCACACAACCGCTGACTGACCACAGTTATCGGCCCTGGACATGAAGACTAAAGTCCTCCTGTACAAAATGCAACAAAGTGGACTTTGGAACTCTTTGAATGGAGTTATAAGTACTGGAAAGGAATCCATTGTATTTCATGCTAGTGGTGGAAGGTACTTGTATTGTATTTGTGTTGTATTGTATTTGTGTTGTATTGTATTTGTGTTGTATTTTGATGTATTTGTATTTATTATGTTGTATTGTATTTGTATTTTTTGTATCAATGTATTGTATTTCTATTATATTGTGT